GCCGCCCCCGCGGACCCTCGGAGTGAGGGAGCTCCAGCGACCAGGTTGGGGGACGCGCCTGCTGGGGCGTGGTGAAGGGCTCTCCAGGGCGGCCAGTGCGCACTGGGGAGGCCGAGAGCCGAGAATAGGAGCCGTTTCACCTTCAACTTCCCTCTTCCTCTCCCCACGCCCAGCACCTTGCTGTAGACCCAGCCCACGCGCGGAGACTCGGAGCGGAGGGAGCGCCGAAGTGTCCTGGTTGCACGGTCCCACCCACAGTCCCTGGCGCGCGGCGGCGGTTCCCGAGCCGCGCTCCACTGGGGCCAGGCCCTGGCTCTCGCTCGGTCCAGACTGCTGGGTCCTCCCCCTCGGAGCGCATCGAGGAAAGTACAACCGATTGCGTCTGCACCTTCGGAGATGCCCTAGGCCCCAACTGGTTACATTCGCGTTCCAGCCACACAAGAGCGCACAAAGCCAAGCCTCTGGCCTCCTTCTAGGGCGCTCCACACACACCTGACCTCACATGAAAGAGGCTCCACAGGGTCCCCCAGAATCACCCCACCTGAGCCTGCCCGCAGACCTGGAGGCCTCATGAAAGCCTCCAGGAGGCCAGTGGCCCACGGGCGCCCCTTCTTGCTCACCCCAGCCATCACCCCCTTCCTCCTGGGTCCTCTGAGAGCTGGGGGGAGATTCGGCACAAGCAGGCGGTGGATTCCCGGCTTTCAGTGGTCAGTGCACGGGGTTTCTGTGCCCAGACTCACCAAGAGGTTGGGCGGAAGTACCCATGAGGGTCCATTTCCGTAGGGCCTGGGGCGCTGAGCTAGGCCACCCCCTGGCCAAAGAAGAGGGGGGGAAGAATGAGGGTCCATTTCCGTAGGGCCTGGGGCGCTGAGCTGCTGAGCCAGGCCACCCCCTGGCCAAAGAAGAGGGGGGGAAGGAAGGGGATGGCTCGGAAAGGGTTTCGTGATTTTTTCCCAAATATCCCTTTCTCCCCTAAGAACGACACATCTCCATTTGGCCAAGTTGCCGATGTTGCCAGGTGCCTGCTGCTCCCCGAACCCTGCTGGCCTCCGCTTTGTTGTATTTCCATCCTGATCCTAAACCCACTTCCTCCCCAGCCAGCTCGTGCCAGGCCAGGCCGGGCTTTAGCACCTCTCCCTCCAAACCCCCTTGCATACACACATATATCCCCCTTCCAGGAGGGAAGGGAGCCAGACAAAGCGGCCGCTGGGGAACGCGGGAGAGGCCCCGGGGAAGGAACCGCCCGAATTTGGGCCCGAGACAGTTAATTCCAAAGGATTAACATAATTGGGAGGCGCCCCTTGCTCCCCCTCCTCCCGCAGCTCCTCGACCCGCTGACTCCCCTTCTTGGCCTGTATGTGCTGTGTGCGTGGCCTCCAGAGTCCCGGGCCCATTAGGGCCGCCCGGCAGGAAGGGTGGGGATGCGGAGGTGGGAAAGGGCTGAGAAGCGCCTTCACCTGGGAGAGAGGGAGGGGGAGGGGACGGAGGGGAGGCGAGAGCAAGAAGGAGGCCCCGGGAGTGCGATTTAAGCAGGATTCTGCACAAAATGGCTCCGCAGCGAGGCTCGGGTAACTCGGCGGCTGCAGGCGCTGGAGGCCTGGCTGGCGAGCTGAGGGCGGGCGGTGGGGGCTCTGGGAGAAAGAATGAGAAGCCTGATTTGGATCCAGTTCCGATGCCGGAAGCCACCGTCCTGGGGCCGCAGCTCTGCCACCCTCTTTGGGAAACGGAGTCCCTGGGTGGAGAGCAGGCGAGGCTGGCCAGGGAGGCTCCCGTGCCCTGCTGTGGTGGGGCTGAGCTGGAATCAGCGAGCCCTCCATGTCCACGGAGGGGGGCCACGGGGAGACCCGGGCTCGAGGGTGTAGGCTGTGGGAGGAGGTTGCTCTGTGGGCTGGTGGCCGGCCTCCACGCGCAGCCGAGACAGGAAATGGGCCAGGTGATGCGAGCCAGAGCCACATGGTGTGGGCTGGGCACCGCCCGCTGGGGGCGGCAGGCTGCCTGGCAGGCTGACTCCAGGCCCGGTTCTGATCACCCTTCCCTCTGCGATTCGTTCTATGCCATTCGTCCCCCACCAGCGCCCTAGCCTCGACCTACAGGCCCTGAGGTCCCCGGAAAGCAGGCCCTGGGTCTGGCTGAGCGCTGGGTGCGGAGACCACAGCCCCGGAGGCGGCGCCGGGCCCTGGCCATGGTGCTGAGAGCCGCCACCGGCCGGGCCTCGCTCTCCAGCGCTGCTGTAGGCGGAACTTCCCCGGTTTCCACCCTACAGTCCCAAACCTGAGCTCCAGAGAAATCAGCAGCTACCAGGGCAAAGGGACAGGCGCCAAGGGATCCCCAAGGGGCAGGAGTCTCCCCAAAAGGATCCGGCTCCCTCCCAGGTGTCTACAAAAATGCCCACCTCTGTTCTGTTGTAGCCTGCAGATTCCAACTCGAAAAAACCCCCTCGCATAGTATGCACACACTTGGCCCAAACACCCATCTTGCCCGGTGCACGCGCGCGCGCACACACGTGTACACTAGCGCTCTGGTACCCATTGGCGGCCTCGGCTGCCAGGGTTCCAGGCTGGCTTGGGCCCAGTTCCTATTTCCTGCTAGTTGTTACACAACTCGGTGCAGTGGCCGTGAAAACCGGCTGGAGTGTGACCCGCCCCCCCTGCCCATTTCAGGACGCGGTAGTGAAGTAAGAGGTTAAGTGGAAGGAGAGTGGGCAGTTCTGACTTTGGACAACAGCCCTCTGCAGGCGCCCTGATCCAGGGCTCAGAGCCTGAGACTCAGGGAGCTCCCCAAACTCCAGCCCAGACCTGACACTCGGCCCCGGGGACCCAGGCTCCTCCCCCAGCCCCTCTGGCCCCTTTTCAGGAGACAGATCTGCAGTCACAAGCGAGGCTCAGTCCAGGGGGCCTTTGCCACTGCTCCCTCTCTCCCTGCCTCCCTCACTCCTTCCTCAGGCCTGAGCTTTGACGAAGCTGCCCCTCCTGTTGTCTAGTCTAGAAGCCCAGCACTGAACTAGCTCAGAGCCCCCAGCGTCCTGCACCACCGGGGTCCCCAGGACCCCCACACCCACCTTCACCAACACCTGCTCAGCTGGGCTGTGATGCCCTCTCCGGCCTCCACTTCTGGCCTCTCTTTCCTCTTACACATGCAGGTTGTGGGCTCTGGAGAGGCCCAGGCTGGGCAGGAACCCAGAAACGCCCTCCTGGAAAGACTTGAGGGGAGCAGCACCCCTCCCTGCGTCTCCAGCCGCTGGTGTTGCCCATGGAGGCTCCTTCCCTGGGAACTTGCACGACCTCCCTCACCCCCAGCCTACCCTCCGGTCTCTGTCCCTTGATTGAATGCCAGACCCTGAGACTCCATCCTCTCCCTCTCTGTACCTGAAGAGTCCCTCCCCTCCAGCATATGGGGAGGGACTCAAAACAGAGCCCCCTTTCAGCCCAGCACCCCATTTCTCCCCAGTTACAAAGACTTGGCCATTTCTGGGTGCATTCCTAGTTCTCCTCCTGTGATCTGACCCCAGAGTCTCTCCCAGCTTCTGACACCTCCCTGCCCTGTTCAAGACCAGCCTGATCCCCCCCCCAACTCCCCAGCCTTCTCTCAGAGAAGCCCCCCACCACAGCCTCCACCTCCCCAGTCGCCCTCATTCCTCCCAGACTCTGGCGCCTTGACTGGGCTGGAGGAGACACCCTCCAAAGATCTGAGAGGCCTGTTCCGGGCACAGACGGGGGAGCAGGACAGAAAGGATTTCCCAACAATTTCCCATCACAGAGGCGGCCCAGCATGCCGTAAATCTTGTCTAGAGTGGGCGCCGTGAGTTGCATGGTTTCTTAAACTATTTTGGCGTCAGGAAGCCACTTTCTACGCTATGATTCCCGTGGGAGAGGGCATGAGAAGGCAGAGGGGACGTGGGGGCAGAGGGGAGGAAGGGGGCGCCCGGGAACTCCCCCGGAAGAGCCTCACTTGGGAACATTCTATCCTTTTGGCTAAACCCGCTGCAGTCCCGCAACTTCCCTCTGGCCCCGCTCCCCTTCCCTTTTTGCAAACCCAGAGCCCTCACCTCTGGGCGCTTCCCACTGCCCCAAGACCCTCGCCTTGGCCTTGACCATTTGTTGGGGTGATGGGTCCGGCCCCAGACGCCGAGCCCCGCCTTCCACGCGCAGTCGGAGCGCACCCCTCACCCCGCCGGG